ATTCTCACCAAAACCCAGAGCAGTACCACTTAAATCTGTGATCAGGCATTCTGTTTGTTTTACAAGCGAGTGCTCCAGAAAAGCTTTGAAGATCCAGTAACAGAGCTGGGGAGAAGCCCGCTCTGACCTGTGTGACCTGAAGAGCCCATGTGTGCACATCTGTGCTCTGCTCTGTTGTGACACCCAGAGTCACATGGTCCAAGAGTGTTGTTTCATTCCAAGAGCCACACAATCTTGTTTAATTGCAAACTCTCCACAATTAGGCCAGGTGCTTTTTTGTGATCACACAGCTGTTCCGGAAATTCCCCCATTGGCACTACAGACCTCAAAGGGTGGCACTGAGTGCACAACAGCAACTGCAGTCTGTCTTATTGTCTCAACAGAGGATGCAAAAGCAAAGTCATCCACAGGAACATGCATGGCAACAAAAACAACCTCTAAGCTAGGCAGTTTGGTAGTCAACTAAGCTTCTCTGAACTTGGCTCTCTGGCTAAGTTTCAGGGGTCTCCCCTTCATGGTTGGGGATGAACATGACTGAGGGTATGGGCAGAGCACTTAGCTGTTAGATTCAGACTCTCCTTTTAACCACGATGCTTGCCTAGGTTGAAACAGTAAGTATTCTAAGCCATGATTCCTACCCTGGCTTTATTCACTTAATCCCCAAGTAATTGTATGACCAGATGTGAAAGAATTAATGTCACTTGTTTTAAGAGCAACAGGCTGCGAACCTCTCTCCTTTATCCACCTGCCTGGGAAGTCAAAGCACTTTCTGAATGGCTGTTGTGCTTCCTCAGGATAAGAGAGGCCCTGGAGTCTGCTTACTGAAGGAGCATCCAGGAGACAAGTAGGGTTTGAAAACAAAAGAAAAGTGCTTTTTGATGGAGTGAATGGACTAAACTTGATCGTCTTATCTTTGGAGATCAGCAAACTCTGCATAAAAAATCCAGCTTGAAAACTCCCCTCAGTTACTAATGCAAGTTTGCAAATATAGCAACCATAATGAAATGGATGCTTTTTAATGATTTCCTATAATGGTGTTTATATATGGAAGCTTTTTTCCCCACTGAAGCAGTTTAATTGGAAAATGGCAAAGGAGCAAGAGGCAGCCGGCCAGTTCCGATTAAAAAGCACGCTGAATGTACTGTGCTGTGGCCTTAATGAACTCCTCCAGGTTTTCCCCAAGTGTCTGCCCTCTTTGGGGACACGGATGACCTTTCTGTGACCAGGACACTCTTGTTCCCTCTTCACCTGCACTGTTCACATTCTGCTCTCAGATTTCCATCAGCTGAGACCTTGGGAAGTGGGCTTGCACCCAAGGACACCACCAGGGACTCTGTAGTCCCTGTGTGGGCCTGACCCCACTGTGGGTCTTCCCATTGAACTGTCAGCATCTCTAGAGAACCATGGCTCCAAGATGGTGTCCACTGCGATGCAGATATAGGAGTGTTTCCTATGTGCAGGCACCGTCAGGTTGGTACCCAGGGTCATTAAAGTCCCTCTGGCACAAAGCTTGTAATCTAGACTAAGAGACCCAGACTGGTAATAGGTAGGGGACTACTGCATTACACACACACACACACACACACGCGCACAATTTCTGCAGGTAGAGCTAAGAGGTATGAAGGGAACAGGTTGATCCTGTGAACTCAGAAGGGGGACTGGGGAGGAGACAGTGACTGACTAAGGGAATGGCAGGTGAGGAGAGAAGGAGAGTGTCCACACAGATTCTAGAGGCCGGAGGAAGGAACCTGGATGTCACCCAGCGGCTACAGTGTAGCAGCCATGTAGCAGCAGATTCTGTCTTATGTCCCAGTACCTAACAAAGCACCAATAAGTTCAATGAACAGGTGAATAAAGGTTTCTCTGGTGTGCAGAACACATGTGCTGACACTGGAAACAGGCATCAAGCCCCTCCACAGTTCAGTCTTGCCAGGAAAGACAGCAGTACTCATTACCATTTACACATTTTTACTAAGGGACAGAATGGAAAGAAATGACTTGAAATGAATGTCGTGGGAAAATGAAGACGTCCCACTGCAGACAGGTGGATGGATGCAGGCTTCTACTAGGAAGAATCAGTGCTACAATGCCGAGGAGTGAGTACTGTAGTGTCAGGAGCTCCAAGAACTCCCACAGGAGAGATGCCCATTCGGGTGGGTTAATCCCTGTAATTCCCGAGCTTAATTACAAGCCTGTCACAGCGAAGACCACTTAATAATTTTATAAAATAGAATCTGAGAGAAACAAAGAGAAGGATCAGGGCAGGGCTGACCTGCCGCAGCATTTGGGAGCTTGGTGATGGCTTGGATCTCGCTGCTTGAGGCTGGGAGTTGGAGCCCGAAGTTTGGGGCTGCTGAGATTGGAGGCTCGTAACAGTGGTATGAACTGAGTGTGTGGCATTTCAGCTCAGGGATAGGCTGGTGGTAGGGTTGTGTGTGGTTTAACATAAAGCCTGGGGTTTCGGTTCAGATGAGTTTCAGGCAGGCAGTTTTGGCCTGAGTCTAACTAACTTGAACTCAATACCTTGCCTTTATGTTGTATATAACAGGGCCTGCATAAGAGTCTTTACTCTTCAACAGATTCTGTCTGGTTCAAACTGATTATCAGTCTATAGCTCTCATTGCCTCTGATGTAGGTAGATGGATCTTACTAGGCCTTAGGAGCAATCCGAACTTCTGACCACCTACCTACCTCTTCCTTACTAGGGCCTTTTCTGCCCTAATGGCTTAACACCAGGACAACCCCCTTCCTGCCATTTTCTCCCTACATCTTTGGTTGACAGGTTGGTTGCTTCATTCATGTATTCAAAAAGAAATTTTAAATATATACCACTAACCAGGCCCTGGGACAGGCTCTAGAAATATACTAGGAGATCAAAAATCACTCCTTCTGTCCAACAGTGTAATGAGAGAGGCAAGTAAGTATACATAATTTAGAAATTCAATGTAACATAAGAAGGAAACAAATGGCACGGCACAGCACTCAGACAGGCTGGGGCTTTCTGAGAAGGCACGTTCACACTAAGACTAAGAGGAGACATCGCTGCCAGAGCCCCCTCAGAATCTGCTCGTCTGCCGGTGGCCCCAAGACTTAGTCTCAGGCCCCCTGCACTTCTCATTCTGTCCATCAATTTCCACGACTTCCTTACGACATGCAAATAATCCGTTGTCTCCTAGATGGTTTTCTTCAGCACAAAACGCTTCTCTTGACATCTCTTCCCAGTACCTACTGCCTTCTGAGGCATCTCCATCCGGGTATTTCAAGATACCTCAAAGTCCTGCCTAAAAAAGCAGCTATCCACCCTCCTGCCCTCATCTAGCAAAACAAAATAAAACAAAACTGAAAGCCAAACCATCTAATCCCTCTCCCTACACTCCATAGTGATGACTGGCCCCATCGTCCATCCACTGTGCAAACCAGGCTCTTTTGGGACACTCAAAATCATATCTCCATTTCTGCCCTGTTTTCAATCCTTTAGCAAATCTTGTCAAATGTACATCTTTTCTAAATTAAATTTCAGCTGCCACCACCCTAGTCGGAGCAACAATTGAGACCACGTAGGCTTTCGCAATGGTTTTCCAGCTAGGCTCCCCATCTCACTCTTGCTCATGCTCGATCTGTAGCTCTTTCTCCACATTAGGGAGAAATTAATTTAAAGGCAAATCTGATCATCTCACCTCCTCCCACTATTAAAATCTTTCAGTGCCTATCTGTGTTCTCTGGATAAAGGGCAGACTCTCTAATATGGTCTGTAAGGCTCTAAGTGACCTGGCCCCTGCCGACCTCTCCAGCTGCCCTCAGCACACAGTGGCCTCTTGCCTCCCGACATACATTTAGTCCTTCACTGGATGTCTTCTCCTCATTTACTTGCTTCATTCCCATGGGTCCTCTGGAGCTCAGGTCACACGTCATTTCAAGAGGAAGCCTTCCTGAAACCCTGGACTGAATTCAAATCCTTTGACACGTTTAATGACATTATCCCATGTACACAGGCTTAGAATTAAGCATAAAATTTGTTTGAGTGAAATATGACCCACTGAAATGTTAACTTCCATGAAAACTTGCTGTACTCACTTCCCTACTGGTCCTTCTTGTCTCCCCATCCCATGTGACCATTTTCTGAGATACGTCATACTGTGCCTCCCTCTTCTGACTCCACACCCTTTCAACCCCAGGGATCACTTCAGCTCCCGTGACTTCAAAACCTCTATACTCAACCTCAGTCTCTCTCCAAATATCCAGGTAGGCATTTCCAAGCAGGCCGGAGTCTCCCAACATTTTTACTGCAACCCACAGTTAGGACATTTCCTTACTACATACACCCCGTGCAACAAACAAGTCTCACGAAACGATGCCGTCACTGCTGTTGTCCCACTTCTTTTCATTTCTAAAATACTTTATTTTTATAATTTCAAGACTCGACAGAGGGTCACAGCCTGAAGTTTAAGACACGATGCACCAGATATTTCCACATGGATATTTCTCTACAAACTCAAACATAGCACGACTATTTTCTCAACGTATTTCTCAACCCAACTTCCTCACCAAAGATTATGATTATCCTCTTAGTCACTTAGGATCAACATGTTGAAGTCATTTGGGATTCTTCCTTCTTACCCAATGCTGCTAAAGCTAAGAGGGCCCTGCCACTGCAGCGGGTTAACACCCTTCTACCCTTTCCTCTCCCCCATCACAATTCAGATATGACTGTACACTTGGAGCCCTGCAACAGCAGTTTAAATTGGTTTCCTGCTTCCAGAATTTTCAGAGAGCGGACATATCTTCAATCACAGTCCTGTTAGAGCAGAAAGCCAATTCAACTCTTCGGTTCCACTTTGACCAGTGAAGTAACGAGTTAGGGACTGAAATGGATATGCTCTCACCCACTCACAAACCCCCGGAATAATTAAATTTTAACTCAAGCTGGCCCATGCTTTTAAGCTGCCTTCTGCAATTAAGAAAGCAAACCTGGGTTTCATGCTGGTGGCTGACAGACTCACCCATATCCGCAGTGACCATGGTGGACTGGTTTTCGGGAATGGAGACAGAGGTCTGGTCTTGGTCCATGCTGCGGGAATCCTCATTGACCTCATGCTGGCTCTGGCTGAGCTCTGATCGAAGTTCGGAGTACTCATCTTCCTCCCTGGGAAAAAACAATAATCAGTCATCACTGACCAAGGATGTGAGACAGACCCCTAGAGATTACGTCTTTTGAACATAAGGAAAAGATATTGAGGAAGAAACAGGCAGATTTTTCACCTAGGAAAGGAGCCAGGATTCCTCTGAGGCTCAGCAGATGGTCATATATATGGTCAGCCAGTGCATGAAAGTAAAAGGGTGCCTCTGTAGCTGAATATTAACATGTACAGAACAGGATTCATCTATCAGGCTCCTAGAAACACTTCTCCTTCAAAGTCTACTTGAAGAAATTAAATTTCTCCACCCCCTCAGATCCAAGGTAAAAATAAAAAGTGACTACTACCAATGAGGATACAGTAAGTAAAATCATCAAGAGCTTACTGCATAACAACAGTGCACCCATCATCTGGAAGATCCCACTGGGGGTGGCTTCCTTCTTGGAAGAGGACACAGGGAGGTGTCAGGGTTGGCGCTACTGAGAAACCAACACCTCATTGATATTGAGCAAATGTTGGGAGGTGTAGAGATCAGCACATCTCAGAAATAACACTCTCCCTGAAGAGTGGAGTCAGGAGACCGGGGAAGAGGAGTAAGGCAAGGAGAAAAATGCAAACAGTAAGGGACAGAATACCACTGGATACCCTATTTCCTCCCGCTTGCTGGCAGGAAGACAAGCCACATTTCACCTGCATGTGCACACATTCTCTGCTCAACTCAGCATGGGTCCTGCAACCTTTGGTCTTTGACCTGTACTATTAGCAAGTAAAGAAAGTTTAGAATTGTAGAACACACTTCAAAGTACACATGTTGCCCCTCCACATGCCACCACAGTCATCACACACATAATGGATACAAGCAAGGAAAAAGTAAAAGTCACTCTCAAACATCATTTTACAAGTGAGCCAGAAGAAAACATCATGAGGGGATTTAATTGCAGAGAGGAAAGCCCACTAATGTCCGCTGAATTCCCAGGAAAGAAGGTGCAAAGAAAGAAATTTATTTGGGGAGGTCCACACTCCTGGATCTTTTTTTTTCCTGGTACTGGGGGATCAAACTCAGGTCCTTGTGCTTGTGAGGCAGGCACTGTGCCACTGAGCTAAATCCACAGCCCTACACTCCTGGGTCTTAAGGAGACCAAGAGGCTGAGTGGTCACCATGGGGCCTTGGCAGAGAGGCAACTGGGGAGAGATCTCTGTTTCAGAGTAATGTAAGATCTCTCCTAAGTGCTTGGTTCTCTACAGAAATCAACATTCTCCCAGGAAAGGAATTTAGCTGCTTTATAAATGAGCCCCTGCTTTATAAGGTACTTTATATAAAAGCCATTCAGAAAACCAGGAAGGCTTCAAGCAAATATAAAGCCCTTGGTTGTGAAATATATGAATTAAAATGGAAGTCATAAAGGGGATAAAAGGTTAATGTTCTATGAATAAGTTAATTATTAGGTATATGCAGAAGTCAACAGTAATTAGGCTCAGGAAAGAAAACAATTGAAAAATAGTTTTAGGAGTAGCCTTTTTGCTCTAAAGGGTAATTAATTGTCTGTGCATAGATATGTCAGCTCTCCTTTCAGTAAGCACTTAAGATCCTGATTTTAGTTAACAAGGGACTCTGTGTATGATGAATAAATTGTCTTTATTGCATGACCAATGTAATCAGCTGTAGTGTAGCAGAGACTCTTCTACAACTAAGAAAGTGAGTGATAAATGCTGCTGCTGTTTGTTGGTACAAATGACATTTACAAAAACCTTTAATAGCCACCTTAAACACTCCTGGTTGGGCAAATTCCAAAACACATACTTTCTGCTAAATTTGCTTTGTACTAAATTTCTTCTAAGGATTACTAGGATGAAATTTATGAAGATGTGACAGGGAAGGGGTGGTGGAAGGAAGCTCTTCAAGATCCCCTGATGGGGTCAGAGCACAGAAAGATCACATTAGCAATGTGATCACCGGCATGAGGCTCTTGGTGTCATGAAAGGCAAATTAAGGATGTTCACTCATTATATTTGAGGACCACGACAAAGACAAGAAAGCAAAGACACGATGGAGTCTGTGTTGTAGGAGACAAAAATGTTATGACCAATTCTAACCTACAAGAGATGCTGGGGCAGGGAGGGGTGGGTGGACACAGGAGGAACATCTCAGGCTGGTTGGTGGGCAGTGACCAGGGATTCTCCCCGGGAGTGCAGCGCCCAGATGAGTCTGGTGGGGCATGAGCAGGAAGAACAATATGAAGGCTCAGAGGAGCTTTTCATTTTTTGGTGAGGAGCAACCTTCGTAGCACAGACAGAAGCCTGAAGCCGTGCTCAGGCTGCTCACTGCAGGGCAGTTTTGATCAAAAGGAGACTGTATTACAGAGGAAGTAATGAGAGTTAGATTGCAGAAATAAAATTACCATGTGAAAAGTCACAGGATTCGGGGTGGGGGGCAGTAAATGTTAATATGATCCTGTGTGGGAGCAGATAAAATGGAGGAAGGCAGTACAGAATGTGTATGTTGTCGACCCACAGGAAAGCGCTGACAGGAGCATACTGGTCCTGGAGTTTGAGACCAGGACATGCAATGGAGCTGAAGCAGGTCGCACGACTCGCCAGCTGAAGGGCCTTTTTAACCATGGTGCAGAGCAGCCGCTTCCAGACTGACACGAGACCTGGCTGAGCCCTGCAACTGGTACCAAGCTTCTCACAAAAGAACATGCCGAACCTGGCACCTGATATCAATCTTCTGACCTGCAGACGAGCCAAGCCAAGCACCTGATACCAATCTTCTAGCACAAGATCAAGTGTCAAAGAAGAAAGAAGACAACAGTAATTGATTTTGCGTGGTGCCCTCTTGGCCTGCAGTGGTCCATTTGGCTTGCAGGACGCATCGCTCTTTCTCCTTCAAAGCAACCCTCTCTCCTTGAGTATTTCTTTTGCTTTTCTTTTTCCTTCCTTATTTCTGCCCTAAAATAAACAGTATTCTTTCACATTCACCAGCGGACTTGACCAGTTCACCAAACAGGACAATAAGAGCCTGGAAAAACTGCTGCTCCCTACTCCACCTGATAATAATCCCTAGTAAGTTATTCTGTGATAACCATAATATGTATTCTGAAACAAAAACAACAGTAAACAGTAATTAAGAGGTGGAAAGCTGCCTTGCACAAAGATCAGAGAAAGTTTTGTGTATACAGAATAGAGGTTAAACTGAGCCTACACCTTAAAAAATGTGGGCAGCCCTGTTGTTTCTCCAAGCAGCTTCAGCTAGAAACACAAAAACATGTAGTTGCATCTTTATCATTTCCCATCAGCATCACTCCTGAGAATAGTCTGCAAGCTAGGACAGGAAAAGTGACAGAAACAAATTCAGAAGCACTGGTTCATCGTGGGCAATGGAACAGATCAGAAACACTCCGCTGGGCCAGGGAGGTTTCTCAAACCTAAGATTCGGGGCTGTACATCCAAAGCTTCTCTGCACAGCCTTGAGTCACCTACTGGAGAAGGGGACTTGCAGCAGCTTCGCCAAGTGACTCCACTGCCTTTCCTTTGGGTTTATATGCAGCAAACCGTATTTGGGGAAGGGGCGCCCCCTAAAAAGAGCTACTGCTAACTTTAATGATGGGAAAAGAGGTAAACGTGAAAGAGTCCAAAACGTTACCATTTAAGACACAAAAAAGGGAAGCCAAGACAAACTGATGCATGTTGGTATTTATATTCTGTAGTGGACTTTTCATAATTATGAGATTGCAAAGTTCTTAAGTGTTTCTCTCTGGCACACAGAGGACCACTGTACAGGATTCTAAATGTACATGACGGTGAACATCTGGGAAGTGCCACCAAGCTGCTTCATTTAGGTTTGCAATGCTCACCGGTTGCCACTAGCTTAAACAGAAAACAGCTTCTTTTTGGAACAGGCAGGCATTACACTGCACGTACCTCTGTGATGACCAGCAGTGGCAGAAAAGTCACAGCCAGTGAAGCCAGGGTCAATACTTCTATTTTAAAAAACAGACAATCAAAACTTCAAGGGGGAAAGTGTCTTATACAACATTATGCAACTAGTAATAGCATAATCTAACTCTTATCAATGAAACAGGCTAATACTATGACCTAGGGAAAAGATTATTACTTTTGCTTATTTTTAAAGATTACCTCTTATTGGATAGGAGTAAAATGATCTAATCTGAAAAGGGAGAAGTTAATAGAAGCATAATTCTTATCATGCTTTGCAGACTTTAGGTGGACGTCCTATAGTCAAGCACTCTTGACAGACCGTCACATCATTAACTGTCCTCAGAGCTCCTTAATTTTGAAATGCACATTCATGCCTATGGCTGGTTGGAATGAAATGGTAAGAAGCTCCAAATGCTCATCTACCTGTCTTGGCAGCTGTCAGTCAATTGCAGTTAGTGAACCCAGCATACTTGACCTAGTGCAGTTTTTGTTGAATTACATTCTGTGCTTTATTTTCTTTGGTTCCTTCTATTTATTTATTTACTGGTTCTGGGAATCAAACTAGGGCCCTTGTGCTTGCTCAGGAGGCGGTGCCAGAACCACTGAGCTAAATCTCCAGTTGTGTTTCTTACAATTAAATATAGCCTTGCTCAGGTCTCACGAGAAAGCTATCACAGAAAGTGATGAATACAGTCCAGATTTCTCCTTCTGTTCTGTGTCCTCTTATTCTACATGGCAGAGGGCAGTGATGGTGAGCCTTTTAGAGCTTTCAGTGATAACAAACACTGGCTGCAGCACAGGTACCATAGCTTTGCCACCAATGGCATAGAGTTTGAAAGTCAGACTCATCTGCAAGACTTCAGGTGAATAACTGAACAAAAGAATGTGAAATGCTCTTCCAAGGATATAATAATCCATCCTTATTATAATAAGATCTGATAAAAGACCCTCATACAAGAAGCTGAAAATATTGAATGAGGGATTATGCACACCATAGGAAGAGAAGGCAGACAGAAATATGTCTTTTCTTTCTGGTTTTATTTTTATTTCATTACATTTTACTTGTCAG